AAATACTAGAGAATTATAAGCTTGTATCCCCTAAGGTTTCTGACCAATTAACAGACTACAGTTCGTGTATCCTGTTATAAGCCCTCTCACAGCCCATTACGTCCTCTTTTCATGATACACGTGGGTACATCACTTTATATGGTCTTGCCCTATCATCCAAACCTACTGGGCCCAGGTTGTCCCTTTCCTACATGACCGCATGAGTTCCCCCTTAACTCTGGATCCAAAAATATGTTTATTAGGCCCCCTCCCAGATCCTGACATGGATAAATTTCAAATCACATTCCTTCATGAAACATTAATCTGTGCCAGTAAGCTCATAGCCAAGAACTGGATGCAGGCATCCCCCCCCCCACACACACTGAAATCTTGGGTGGGTGAGGTGAATCTCACTTTTCCTTATAAAAAATATAATAAGTTGTGGGACAGGGCTTGCACTATCAGATACATATGTTTGAGAAGTCTTTCCTTCATTGCTTCGGAGACTTCACACTACATATATCAATCCTGCATGATAGACCTATTGGATTCCTGTTCTTACTTGTACTTTTGCCCTCTGCAGCCACAGAGTTCATAGCTTATATTTGCACAATATATACTTTTTTTTATTTGTCATTGTCAATTTGATACCATGCTCAATTGGCTTATTTGTTTCTCCTAGGTGGATTTATATACTTATTATGTACTTTGCAATTTTTTTTTTTTGATAACATTTTTTTTTTTAACACGAGATAGACTTTACCAGCACATTAACCCCTAGCTAGTCTTAAATAGTCTCCACAGTTAGCCCACAGATTTTTGTATGGGTGTTACATGGAGAATTTTCTGCCACAGTTCTGCAGTGTTTCCTGTCTGAATGAAGGCTTGGAACTCATGCTTATGGGCACTGTGGAACGTACAATGTGAATCAGTAGTTTGTTTATGTGGCTAGAGCTGCCTGGGGCTGTGTTCAAGCAGTCTTTGTTATGCTATGGGGCAGCAGCAGCTGTACAACCACAGCACAGGAACAGGATGTGTACAGAGGCTACCTGTTTGTTCACAAGTTGAAGCACAGTAAAAACAGTTTTCTATGCTTCAATTATACATGAACACTGGAGCAATCTGTAAGGATCGCTCGTTGTGTTTAGTTAAGAATGGAAGGGGCCAGTAAATATAAAATGTTTACTCTATCCTGAAACGATCACTCTGTGCCTTGCTGCAGGCTAGTGGGGAGGGAGAGGATGAGAAGCCGGATGCACTGCAGGAGGCACACAGGGATTGAAAAGGAGTGTGATTGGAGTGGCAGAAGGGGGAATTTCACCAGCACACCGAGGATCACCAATATGGGTCCAAAAGTTTTAATGAGCGATCACATAGTTACAGCAAGGCAATGTTTCGGAGTCTTGCAGGACCCCTTTATCAGGCATGTGACAAATTGTGACAGAAACTGCAGAACTATTTAAGAAAATCATCCACCAATTAGAGTGAAGTAAAATTAGCTTGGTCCCGCCCCATGATGTAATGTTTCTAAATGCATTCAAATCAATGTAAACAGAAACATAAACTGTGAAAAGAAATAAACCATAAAACAATAATCAGATGTGCATAAACTGCATTCCTGGGGATATAAACATTGTGGTCACATGTGTATCCTACTACTCCCCGGCTTGTAATAAAGTGTCAGCTGAAAGCAGGGCTGTATTATGGAAACAGCGCCCAGCAGCATATATGTCCCTAACAGAGGATAAAAGCTGTCGCCTAGAGATGTGGGGGTGTGTCTCCTATTGCCAAGTGAGCTCCAATGAGGACACACCTGCAGTGGTCCTATTGGTGCAGCGGCCAACAGTGTCATGGCTACGCATGTCACCTGCACGCACCATCTGAGTTTTACTCACGCATGCGCTCAAAGTCATTCCTGCACTGGCCGCCGTTATCATGGAAACCCATGACGTTGGTGCTGGGCAGGACAGGGCGGAGGCAGGTCGCCAGTGTCATGGAAAGACATGACGTTGGCGCCACACAAGCCATTTGGCGGGCATGGTTGCGGAGATGACTGTGAAGAAAAAATAAGAATAGAAAGGAAGCAGATTGAGGGCCAGTTCACACCACATGCGTTTCAGTTAGAGACACAGAGAAAGTAGGCTACATGGTTGTTAATGTCATAGTTCATATCAGTGATTGCAGTTTCAGTGCATTCCAGCCGCAGATAAAAAGTAGAACATGCCGCATCTCCTCTGCACAGAACTGCACTGGAACGCAGCAAAACGCATCAAAAACGCATCGGAGTGCACCAAAACGTAACAAAAACACACCGAAACACACATGTCCCCATCTAAATTGAAGAAAAAGAGAGGGGAGAAAACGAACTGGAATGCATAAAAACGCATTGGAATGCATCAGAACCAGAACATGCCAAAACTGCATTGAATACGCGCACGCAAAAACGCATTCGGAACGCATCTGGGCTACGTCTCCATAGTGTGAACTGGCCCTGAGACTGATGACAATCCGTCTGTGAATGGAGCTGTGGAGAAGTGCAAGAAAAGGGAGTCATAAAAAATGGAAAAGAGGCTGGAAACAGGAAAAAAAAAAATGTGTGGAGGTGGCACAGCTCATCTACTTGCAGAGAGAAAGCGAGAGACTGTTGTGAACAGTGTGAATGTGAGAAATCTAAACCAAAAGTTATCTACAAAACTATATACACTTCAATCATGAGGAACTATCATAACCAAAGTTCATCTGTTATCCAAATAGCACAAATATGATGTGTTGATATTAAGTCCCCTCGGTTGTGTTGTGTCGAGGTTATGGATCCAATAAGCTTCACAACGGAGGAGGAAATTGTCACGATCTCCTCCTCTTGCCGATTGACTGACGTGTTCGATGGTCATGCCCCTCAATTCATGTACCTGGTGTCCTGCTGAATTAAAATGGACTACTACGGGTTTGCTCAAATCAATAGGTTCACTTTGATACTCTTGACTAGAGCTGTTCTAATATCACTCCTGTGTTTCTCAAATCTCTGCTTAAAGGGACCTTTTGTTTTGCCCACATAAACTAGTGAGCACGGGCATTTCAGCATATAAATGCAGTAATCAGTGTTACAGTTCAGGTAACTATGTATCTGGTAATGTTTCCCACTGTGGGGATGTGTGAAATGTTCCCCACAGATCAATGAATTGCATACATTACAATTGTAAAACTTGTAACAACCCTGTCTTTCTGAGAGCTTGAACACTACCTTAGCGTATTTGGTCCATGGTCCGCTTGAACTAATAAGTCATGTAGGGATCTACCTCGCTTATGTACCATTAATGGTGGATTCTTTAAGTCGGGTGATAGAGTGTCATCAGTTCTAGGGATGTTCATGTTACCCATGACCGCTTGTTTAATACGCTTAGATTCCTGATTGAAGACGTGTATAAATAACGGCCTATTGGCTGCCCTAGGGCTGCCTTCAAAATCTGCTGTAGCTCTGGCTAATGCCTGGTCAAGTACTCGAGTAGGATAACCTCATTCCACAAATGTTATATACATGGCCTCAAGTTGTTCTATCTTGTCATTCATACAGGAACAAATGCGTAACATCCTCTTGAACCGTGATATAGGCAGGCTATCACAGAGATGCTTGGAGCGTGGGCGCTCTGGTAATGTAGTAGGGTGTTCCTGTCTGTTGGTTTTGAGAACACAGATGTCCGGAGTGTACCCTGGTTATTAGTGATCCTCACACACATCCTTAGGGCTTTAAATTCCTCAGGACTAAGGTTAGTGTATCTCCTCATGGGCATGCCAGAGAGAACATCATGTTTCAGAGTGCGTATGTAGCAATCAATGGATTGGTACTGTCCAGGGGGCATGAATTTGCTTTTACGTTTTCATGCGGATCCACAGCTGCACCACCCGCACAGATGTGAACCTAGCCTAAATACTGCTCCACATTTTCTCCTGACCAACCAGCAGTATTATGGATAGTTTGTAATGCAAATGAACAAAACTTCGATACTCAGGCCCAGCATGTTTTTGGTAATTGTGACACTTTGATTACACATATCAGTGACCTTTTTATAAAGGCCTTTGTTTTTTTTTTTGTAGATAAACATTCAGAAACGGTACATACTGTACAGTATATATGCAGTGTAACATTTTTTTATATTATAAATATAACCAAAAATATCAGTGAGGATATCAACTAAAATAATTATTAATCAAGCAATCACAGATGCAACTGAACACAGAAATCAGATAACTGAGCATTATTACAAGATAATAAAATCAAATGAAGTATTGTGAAGGAATATTAATTTAAATTGATATATAATACATTCAATCCAGTCATCTTGGATGAAATAAACCAAAACTACTTAGCCCCGGTAAGTCTTGCCACTCAAATCCTTCAGTCTTATGTACTCATTTCTGTTTCAGCACTGTACTGTTAAAATCTGGCAAAGCTGACTTCAAAGAGATATTCCTTGGACATATTTATCAAGGCATATCCAAGGAGAGGTCCACATGAAACACATTTTATATTCCTACAGACCTATTTTTAGTAGTTCACATTTTGTATGCTCCCAAGCAATATATTATGGTAATAAGCATTGCTTTGACTATTGGCATATTTCTTACATAAATGTGATGATTATGGGTAATCATTAGCTAATAAAGCCTAAATGATCCATGTTGAATCAAGGTATGTAATGATTCTCAACTGTGATATCCAAGACTGTAGTTATCTCTTCACTATCAAGCCAATCATATGTATATGTGGTCTGTCTTGATATATATTTTTTGCATACAGACTGCTAAAACCAGCGTTTTATTATTTTTTAAATATTTATAACTAGATGTAATGTTTTTGTTACAAAACACCTACCAATTTGACCTGTTATGAAGGCTTCTCAGCTTTACCCTGCACAAAATATATTCCAATTTTGACTGCAAACAGATACAGATCAAAGTATATAATGTACCATAATCAAACATAAAGAATCTAATTAAATTAATTTGTGTTTTTTTTTTTTTAGGTAACACCCTCCTCCAAAATTGTTGGAGACTTGGCACAGTTTATGGTACATAATGGACTCTCGCGTGAACAAGTAGAAACTATGGCAGATGAATTATCCTTCCCATTGTCTGTAGTGGAATACTTGCAGGGCTTTGTTGGAATTCCTTATGGTGGCTTTCCAGAACCTTTGCGATCAAAGGTAAATGCTTCATTCCATTTATACAAATTGTTTTGCCATCACAATTTATAATTTAGAACCGTTAGTAAATGTGTGGTATATATTAATCCATTGGCCACCCAGAAATTACTTATTTGTCAGACTACACTAAACTGCTGATATTTGGTCTTGGATGGGCATCTATTGTTTACTGGGTTTAAATTCTGTTTACACAATAATATATTTGACCAACAGCATTGTAGCATTTTCTAAAAACAGTCTGAAGAAAACAATGATTTGATCTACTAATTTATCATAGACCTAAGAAATTCAAAGTAAGCAAATAATTTATAAAAACAAAATAAGCAGAGGTCACTTTGATCAAAAATGGCATGTCAAAATGATCAGTGCATCCAGGGGATAGGTGTGTGTGTGTGTGTGTGTATATATATATATATATATATATATATATATATATATATATATATATATATATATATACAGTGAAGGAAATAAGTATTTGATCCCCTGCTGATTTTGACTGTTTGCCCACTCACAAAGAAATGATCAGTCTAAAAAATCAAATGGTAGGTGTATTGTAACACTGAGAGACAGAATAGCAAGAGAAAATTCAAAAGAAATGCATGTCTAACAAATTATGCACTGATTTGCATGTTCATGAGGGAAATATGTATGTGATCCCCTTCACAAAATAATGACTTAGTATTTGGTGGCAAATCCCTTGTTGGAAATCACAGAGGTCAGATGTTTCCTGTAGTTGGCCACCAGGTTTGCACACATCTCAGGAGGGATTTTGGCCCACTCCTCTTGGAAGATCTTCTCCAAATTATTAAGGTTTGGTGGCTGACATTTGGCAACTCAAATTTTCAGGTTCCTCTACAGATTTTCAATTGGATTAAGGTCTGGAGACTGGCTAGTGCTTCTTCTTGGGCCACTCTGTTGCCTTGGCTGTGTGTTTTGGGTCAATGTCATGCTGGAACACCCATCCATGACCCATTTTCAATGCCCTGGCTGAGGGAAGAAGGTTCTCACCCAAGATTTGACGGTACATTGCCCCATCCATCGTCTTTGATGCAGTGCAGTTGTCCTGTCCCCTTAGCAGAAAAACACCCCCAAAGCAGCATGTTTTCACCACCATGTTTGACAGTTGGGATGGTGTTCTTGGGGTTGTAGGCAGCATTTCTCCTCCAAACACGGCGAGTTTAGTTGATACCAAAGAGCTTGATTTTGGTTTCATCTGACCACAGCACTTGCAACCAGTCCTCCTCTGCATCATTCAGATGTTCAGTGGCAAAATTCAGACGGGCCTGGTCATGTGCTTTCTTGAGCAGAGGGACCTTGCGGGCACTGCAAGGTTTCAATCCTTATCGGCGTAGTGTGTCACCAATTGTTTTCTTGGCGACTGTAGTCCCAGCTTGCCTGGAGATCATTGACAAGATCTTCACGTGTAGTTCCTGGAGGATTCTTCATTGTTTTCATGATCATTGACACTCCACGAGGTGAGATCTTGCATGGTGCACCAGACCTAGGGAGACTGACAGTTGTTTTTGTGTTTCTTCCATTTGCGAAATGATTGCACCAACTGTTGTCACCTTCTCACCATGCTGCTTGGCGATAGTTTGGTAGCCCAGTCCAGCCTTGTGTAGGTTTACAATCTTGTCCCTGACATCCTTGGACAGCTCTTTGGTCTTTGCCATGGTGGAGAGTTTGGAATCTGATTGTTTGATTGCTCCTGTGGACAGGTGTCTTTTATACAGGTAACAAAATTAAATTAGCAGCACTCCCTTTAAGATACTGCTTCTAATCTCAGATTGTTACCTGTATGAAAGACACCTGGTAGCCAGAAATCCTGATGAATAATAGGGGATCAAATACTTATTTCCCTCATGCATTTCTTTTGAATTTATTGTTGCTATTCTGTCTCTGTGTTACAGTACACCTACCATTCCATTTTTAGACTGATCATTTCTTTGTGAGTGGGCAAACATTCAGAATCAGCAGGGGATCAAATACTTATTTCCTTCACTGTGTGTGTGTGTGTGTGTGTGTGTATATATATATAATTTTATTTCCCACTGCATGGGTTAAATGTTTGTTTGGCTGGGGTAGAAAGGAATAAGTACAAATAATTACTATTCCTCCTTCCCATGGCCTTTCTCCTCTTTGGTGACTAGTCCCCCAAAGCTGCTTCAGTTTGCTGCATTCTGAAGATGACATATACAGTGCAGGACCAGCAGTCCTGCATAGTATGGGAGGACAGCAAGGACACGTAGACATTCCTTCAGACAGCTTAGTAAAGTGCCATCTGCCGGGGGTGCGTGGAATAAGTTTCAACTTATTCCTTTCCTCCATTAGCCAAACACATATTTAATCCGTGCAGTGCAGGCGAGAACCACACTGCATGGGGACATTTAACGGCAGTCTGGAGTTGGGATTTGCTAATTTTCCAAGGGTCTAAAGTGTATTGTTTCTCACATAGTAATAGAAAGTAGTTGGAAGAAAGACAAACCAAGATGTTTAACCACACAGCACATCCACCAACATTATAGTTTGTAAACTATCCAAATCCTGAAAAAAAACTTTTAGGAAATGTGTACCAGTTGTACAGGATTTTCTTTTACTTTTCTTCTTTCAAGTGTAGCACCCTCTAGTGTGCTACTAGAATAGTGTAGGCAAATCTTTTGTGTATTGTCATACATGGTAACTGTGTGAGTCTGTGATTAAGGTCAGGATACTACAGATCAAGCTGGATGATTGAACAGGTTGGGATCACCTGCACCTGGTTCTGGAGGACCATGGGGACCTTCCTGAAGTCAGTAGCAGAAGAGGTGGAGACTGAATGTTTGTGTTAGTCTAACAAATCCCAGGTTTGGAGGCCTTGGTAGAGTGGTGGACCAGTCCATAAGTATGGTGATAGTCAGGCCAGCTGGGGAGTCAGGTGGAAGATGGAGTGCTGAGAGGACTGTTGGTGGCCTGGAAGGGGTCCACTACATCTGGGGGGGGGGGGCATGTGGCAGATCAGAACTGGGGGGGGGGGGGTCTGGCCTCCAGGCTGGACTCGGGCTGGCTCAGGAGGATCCATTCAGCAGTACAGCATGAACAGGATCAAGGCCTGGGAGCAGTGGGAGCAAAGCAAAGAGGACAGAGTACATCAGCACTCCCTGGGATTCACAAGGGGAGAAACTGCCACATGTAGCAAGCTTTCAAAGGACAGTGCTGTGCATAAACCTTTATCTTTGTCCTGGGAGATCTTCAGAGCAGCCAGGAGGGCTGGCAGTGTCTGCAGGTTGTGGAGCTCGGAGCAGTTCTACAGGGGAGAGGAAACCTCTCTGCATGTAGTTACAAGAAGCTTAGTTGATTTCAGAGGGTCTGCGAGTTCCTCACCCATAAGGGGCTGTTGCTACTGATCTGCAATGAAAAGGTAAAGGTCAGCGAGCACACTTAATAAAAGCAGCTATGCACAAAAGGTAACCAAATAAAACCTTATAAAACTCATAAAATCACAGTGCAGCGCTACAAATTCTCCGTATAAATGACTCAATAATAACTGGTTAAAATTCTGTATAAATAACTCAGTATTAAATTATAGAAAGTTCATAAAGTGACAATGAATATATAATAGTTCATAAGGAGACAATATGTGCTCTTAAGGTGCCAACTTCAGTGCTTGTGTGAATGGATGTAGTAAGATTACGCACTCACCAGATGCGCAATATAAATGCGCATATAAATATTTAACTAGAGGTCCTCTTAAGGAAAACAGGGTAAGCCGGGTGATGGATTATCCTTCCTCTGAATGGCGAGCAGCATAGCAGAAAACTCCAGGGAACTACGTCAATCCAAACAGCAATGGAAGGGATGGATGGGTGTTGCAGCCTGAGTTTACAGGGAATCCCCTCTCTGGATACTGGGATGGATTTTTAAGCTTTGATGAGCTCTGAAATTAAATTACTCCACAAGGGAGCCAAACAAAAGAGCGCCCATAATGTAGTAGGTAATTGAAGTATTTATTCTAGGGTATGATTCCCCACAAGTAAATATAAAATAGGGTTAAAACGATGCATCGATGTATAACATAACACAGGGTTAACTGTCCCAGATTAAAGATGGCCGCCGGACCTCCACGAGGCTTCGGCGGCGTGACGCCACGGCATAATTGGCTCCCTCTTACGCCTTACGTGAGCATGCACGTCTTCAGAGAGGCATCCCCTATCTTCCTTTCATTTAATACTGAGTTATTTAAACAGATTTATAACCAGTTATTATTGGGTAATTTATACACTGAATCTTTAGCGCTGCACAGTGATTTTATGACTGATCCGCAATGACTAATGGCTTTCAAGGAAAAGAACAGTCCTGGATATGTTGGTGTAAATAGGAAGAAAGTTGTCCCCATGCTTTTAATTCAATTAAGTTGGGCATCCCATAATCCCTATTACCCTATCCAAGTTATATTCCCCTAATAAAATAACAAAAACCAAGCTCATGGACTGTTCACTGACTGTGGATGAAAGTGCGGAAAATGCGTGTTGCCTGGCTGCGCAGAGCTAGGGGTTAGAATGTCCCCAATGTTGTGATAAAAAGTAGCGATAAAGGTGGAAATGTGGTGCTACTGAATGAATGATTATGTTGCGGAGGTGCAAAGACAACCGGGGGACCATTCAACCTATCTGAAATTACCACAGAATCCATTTCCAGAATTAGTCTACCAACTTAATTATAAATTACAACTGGATAAAGAGGCAGGCCTACTCTCCAAAAAGATCCATGATTACCTGAGGGTTGATAACCAACAAATATAGAGATACCTATGAGCCACCAGGAGTGTGCACTGAATATAAATTTGAGGTTCGCAGACTCCCTTTCACATCCTCATAAATGTATATGGTCTAACTTATAACGTATAGGGTGTCGCGCCCTGTTAAAAAATGTGAATATCCAAAAATATATATGTGGTGTGGAATAACCAAATAAATATCTACATAAATCTAAACACAATCACTTCTGCTGCATGATGCAGG